TGTCTCTGATCTCAGACAAGACAGTGTCAGTGGGAGAAAAAGTGACTTGAGCAGGTGATGCTACAAGTTGAGAATCAGGTCAGACCTGGTAAGTCTTCCTTGGCTTTGGAGAGGAATGGAGAGAGATCAAGAAGAGGGAGGAGGCACGATGGTTGGAGGGTCCCCATGAGGAAACGAAGTGGAGGACACACAATGATGGCAGGAGGGCATGACAGAACTGGGGAGCTTCTCAGCATGGATCAGACCCAGAGAGTTCACCGGTCACGGCAGTCCAGCCAGACCCGGAGGTGCTGATCTAGGGCTCAGGGGAGAGGTCCTGTATGAGAAGTGAGGCTTGAGGACAGGTGCATCTTTGGGAGATGAGTGTGAGAGAAAGCCACAGGGTCAAGCGTGCTGTTCAGAAGAAGAGCAAGACACCTACCCTGGAGGCAGAGTGGAGCCATGGGAGAAATGTGGGGGAGACAAAGGATCCTGGTGTCATGACTCAGAGTCACAAAGGAGCGGGTGGTCATATCAAATGTGCAGGAGTCAAGGAGGGGTAGGACCCCCATGAGGCCTCTCATCTCAGGACTGGTAAGTCACGGTGACCTTTAGAGAAGAGCTGGGACAGAAGCAAAGCACTGGGAGTAAACCACGGGTGGGTGACAAGGACATGTTTACAGCAGGTGTGGTTCGCTTAATTAAGGAGTCACACAGAAGCGAGAGGGACACCCTGTGCTGCGTGACTGCCCCTGGGGCTCCCAGGGCAGCACATCCAATACCTCCAAAAAGACCCCACCCAATGCAGTCTCTTCATAGGACTTACCAGCTCGAATCCAGGGAAAGACGGAAGAAAGTCACATTATACCATTGCCCAAGAAGTGTCTTTGTAGAGGAGAAGACTAATTTACTACACAGTCAGAGGGAGGGTGGGGAGGTGGCGGGTCATAAAGAAAAAGGAGGTGGTTACTTGTTGAAGGAAGGTAGGTGGAGATTACTTTCTGCAGGGCCAAGAATCTGAAAAAGAAGCTGAGCCTCGGGGAAAATGTCACAGATCTCTGCTCCAGTGAATGTCCCTCAAGCCAGTCATTAAAAACGCCCTGGCTGTAACCCTGCTCTCTTCATGTAAGCCAAGAGCCACACGGCCTGTTCATACCCCCTGTCCCTCATGCCATCTGGGCAACATGTCAAGCAATTCAACAACTGTGTGTCCTCCCTGAAACCAGAGAGCTGACGTTTCTCTCCGGTAATCTCCGTCCACTTTCTGCCGCCCTCAAAGTAGGCCTGAGCTATGTATAGCTGGGCAGCTGGCATGTGATGGTGTTCACGGAAGGAGGCTGGCTCAATGAAGGGACAGCTATTCTGTGGGATTCAAGCGAGTATCGGGGGCCTGTTTAGGGCTGGGATAGGTGCCTCTGAAAGAGCCTTCGGGGAGAGGGAGGCTGTTGATTGTTTTTATTGGCATTTTGGACGTCACATTGGCCAATGCCAAGGAAAGACCAAGGGAAGATGCTATGTATTTTTTCCACCCCACAATTCTGAGAGGCTATGTAACAACAACAATATAAAAAAATAGCACTTACTGGGTGTTTACATATGCCAGCTATTGCTCCACCTGCCTTACAGAATTATCTTATTGAATCTCTACAAAACCCTCATGAGGCAGAGGCTTGCAGATGAGAAAACAGAGGCACAGAGTGGTTAACCAACTTGCCTGGGGACACGCAGAGCTTAAGCGACCAGCTAGGGATTTCAACCCTGACACTCTGTCTCCAGAGCCCAAACTTTCATCAATCACATTTTGTTCTATACCTGGGCCTCCAAGGGACCTGGGCCCAAATCCTGGCTTTGCACTTACCAGCTGTGAGACTCTGGGCAGTCACAACTTAACTGATCTTCAATTTCCTTATCTAAAAAACTGAGATCCAATCTCACAGGAGTAACATGTATACAAGGACATAGTGAAAGTTCCCTACCAATTAATTACAGGGCAACCCCACTACACTAAGTCAGTGGTTTTAGAACCTGGTGTACATCAGCATTCCCTGGAGGGGTAGCCAGTAAAAAGAGATTGCTGGGCCCACCCCAGAGTTCTGATTCAGCAGGTCTGGGAGGGGACACAAGAATTTGCATTTCTGCCGGGTCCCAGGGGCTGCTGAGGCTGCCGGTCTCGGGCCCACACATTGAGAGCCGTGGCCCTACCAGTCCTCTACACAAAATCACAGCCTTTTATTGTGGAGCATTTTGCCATGTCCAAACTGACAGACTGAGGGAGACTGTCCCTGAAGGCCAGGGTTTGTTTTGTTTTATTAAAAACATTATTGCAATGGAATTTTAAAGAGTGAATTTGTCTGACGTGGGGCAAGGCCATGCCCTTTTCCAATTTTTCTCAACAGAATTCTGTGCCCAGTGCCTGTGAAAATGCAGTCTGGAAGCCTAGGCCCTGACCTCCTCTGGTAGCCCCTCCCTCCAACTCTCCTTGGAAAAAAGTTCCACATGATACTCAGTGCTTTCTGGGGCCAGAGGAGATCATCCCCTTTTAAACTGTCCTTCAGTGAAGGTCGATACACCTCATTTTAAAAAGCGGATGGGGTGCTTCCTCTCATGGAGAGGCCTCATAAATGTAAACTAATGATTGAATGAGAGATCTTTGACTTATTGCTTCCACAGCACACATTGAAAAACAGAAGAGGAACCTGCTCCTGCTTGGCTGAACTTTCTGAAATGTCTGACTAGTGTTTACTTTGATAGCATCTGCTAATGACAGCAAATGCCATGGAAAACTAACTTGTGTTTTCCCAAGAATGGCAGTTTTCAATGTGCTTTCACATACACAACGATTTCAGGAACAGCCCATTACTAAGCACCAAGCATGTGCCCATCACTTTACACATATTACCTGTTTTGTCTTCTTAAAACCCCTACGAGGAGGGTACTGTGGGCTTAGATTTTTCTTGTTTTGTTTTTTGTTTTGAGACGGAGTCTCGCTCTGTTGCCCAGGCCGGAGTGCAGTGGCGCGATCTTGCTCACTGCAAGCTCCGCCTCCCGGGTTCACGCCATTCTCCTGCCTCAGCCTCCCGAGTAGCTGGGACTACAGGTGCCCGCCACCACACCCGGCTAGTTTTTTTGTATTTTAGTGGAGACGGGGTTTCACTGCGTTAGCCAGGATGACCTCAATCTCCTGACTTCTTGATCCGCCCACCTCGGCCTCCCAAAGTGCTGTGATTACAGGCGTGAGCCACCCTGCCTGGCCTCTGGCTTAGATTTTATAAAGGAAGCACTCAGCCTTGTGGAGCTAAGTGACCCGCCTACAGTCACACAGCTAGTGCAAGGACTCAATCCCAGCTGGCTCTGACTCCAAAGCCTGTGCATCTCACACTGCTAGGTGCTACTGCCAGTAGTCATTTATGTGTTGCATTCACTACTTCTGTGTCTGGAGGAGGCTTCGCTCCCTTCATAAATCAGAGGTGTGTGGTCTGGCTAACAGTTAGATATCCAGGGCCAGAGTAATTGTGTGTGCTGTGTAGGTAGAAGCAGGTGATCATGTGAGGGAGTACTTGTTAGGTCTCCTGGCCACCCAGCTCACGGCAGATGGTGAGGAGAGGCCTGTCTGGCTTGGGGCACCTGGACAGCAGGTGGGAGCTCCTGGAACTGGCACCCTGGGCACACAGAAGCGGCTCTGGCCTGCCCAGCCCATCACATTGCAAGATGCTGCACTGGCCCCTTCCCTTCATGGCTGTCCAAACAGAAACAGCTTAGCTGGATAATTCTGGCCTACCACATCCAGTTTGAAAAGGGAAGCCTTAGAGGCTTCCTTGAACAGGCTCAGTTCTTCAGGGGGCTGGCTTTCTAGGTGGAACAAGTCATTTTGAATGCGCACTAAAGCTAAGCTGACAATTATGCAAAAACATTCTGCACAACCTGTAAAGCTCAAACTGCCACAGAGCAGGGCTACTGAGTAAAGAAAAATCTTATGATTTGGAATCAGATTTTCTTACTTTTAATTTTACTGCCTTATATCATAATAGCCCTTATAATATAACTGCAGTGGTGACTTTCATGGTATCTCATGCCCCCCATTTTAAAATGTATAACTTTGGGGGCCGGGCATGGTGGCACGTGCCTGTAATTCCAGCACTTTGGGAGGCTGAGGCAGGCAGATCACCTGAGTCAGGAGTTCGAGACAGCACAGCCAACATGACGAAACCCCATATCTACTAAATACAAAAATTAGCTGGGCATGGTGGCACATGCCTGTAGTCTCAGCTACTCGTGAGGCTGAGGCAGAAGAATCGCTTGACTCCGGGGGGCAGAGGTTGCAGTGAGCCAAGATCATGCCACTGCACTCCAGCCTGGGAGCCTGGGTGACAGAGCGAGACTCCATCTCAAAATAAATAAATAAATAATAAAAAATAAAAACTTATACCTTTGGGAGGAAGTCTACCTCAGGAATGTGATGAATAGGTGTCCTGTTTGGGCTTGTGCAATACGGGGGCTTTGGAGATAGGAGTAATGAGAGAAGGTTCCAATGGGTCTAAAAAACTTCTGAATCAACAGTATATTTTCCAGTTCATGAAACCTCTATTTCTTATAATTCCATGGGTGGAAGGAAATATTTAACTGTAATCACTCAATCCATGCTTTTACAACTAGCATCTCTGTGCTTTTACCATCTCACTCCAAGGATCCCCTGTATTACCGATATGTGCCCAGCAACCCTCCACACAGAATTCAGCAGCACTCGGGCTTCACAGAGAACTGCAATTTAAAAGTGAGCACCTCCTGAGAGAGTATGGGCTCTATGGGAGGCTTCGTTCTCCAAGCCAAACCAAAATAAGCTGACCTCATCTAATTTTCAAAGTGGAGCAGGTGTGAATTTGGAGATTGCCATTATCGGGCAGTGAACAGTTGGAAAAAATACCTGAATCCTGTGTGTGTTGCTATTCGCTGCCCAGTGTTTCCACACGGCTCCATCTGCAGATTCACTCAACTCCAGCAACTTCATTTTGCCTTCCCCTCTTGGGTTTGGAAATGCAACCACTGGGATATTTGCCTGCGCTAAATAGGTTTAGAACAAGGTCAGCCTTATAAAGCTGGAGGTTTCTGCCCATGTGTATATATATTTTGGGCTGAGAGTCCCATGGTTTAAAAAAAAATCAATTTTACCCATATTTTGGTGGATTAAGCAAGGGTAACAAGCAGGTTCCTGAATCTGGCAAATTCAACCTCTTTACAATTCTACTCAATACTTTAAAAAATTTAACTTAATTTAAAAAGAGATCAAGGAGAAGTATATTTCCAGTATAAGCAATTTATTTCTAATTCTTGACATTTTCCTTCTTCCCCTCTCCAGCCATCCATCCAGCTAACATTTATTAAATTCCAAGTGCCAAGCAACAGCCCATTGGCTCACACTAGTCATTTAGGTTCAACACATAGTCTAGTTGTACAATTTAATGCAGCTCAAGTGTAAGTGAAAATCCAGAGTACAAACTAAAGACATCTGTGCCTTCGTAAGTTGGCACAGCTTACAAACATGAAGCAATCCCTTTCAGCTGCTCCTTGGCATACTGGAAGGAGCATGTCATTTGAAACCAAATAGGTTTGGGTTCAAACCCTGCTTCATGATCTAATGTTTTATAGCTTTGTGACTTTAGGCAATTTTACTTAGCTCTCTGGCTCATTTCTCTGCCTGTAACATAAGAATATGTTGTAAGAATTACATGAAATTACATATGTAAAGCCCCGTATTGGCATGGTTTATGGTAAGTTCATAATATGTGCTTTTCCCTTCTCCTTCTTCCCCTTCTCTTCATTCAACATTCATTCGACAAACACTGTTGAATACCTACTGAGTCAGGCACTGATTTAGGTGTTGGGGTATAGCAATGAGTAGAACAAAGTCCTTGCCTTTGTGAATGTCACATTCTATAGTGGGTGCTGTAGTTTGGATGTTTTTCCCTCCAAATCTCATGCTAAAATTTGGTCCTCAATGTTGGAGTTGAGGCCTAATGGGAGGTCTTGGGGTCATGGAGGTGAACACCTTTTGAATAGATTAATGTCCTCCATGGGTGGGGCAGTGACTGAGTGAGTTCTTACTCTATTAGTTCCTGCTAGAGTTCCCTGAGAGCTGGTTGTTAAAAACAGCCTTGCATCTTCTCTTTCTCTCTCTCTCTCTCTCTCTCTCTCTCTCTCTCTCTCTCTGTTTCTGTCTCTCTTGCTTCCTCTGGTGCTGTGTGGTATCTGCACACACCAGCTCCTCTTCACCTTCTGCCATGAGCGGAAGCAGCCTGTGGCCCTAGCCAGATACAGACACCCAATCTTCAACTTTTTCAGACATCAGAATTGTGAGCCAAATAAACCTTTTATTCTTTATAAATGACCTAGCCTCAGGTATTCTTTCATAGCAACGCAAATGTACTAAAAGAAGAGGTGTCAGACAATGTGCAATAGGTCAGCCAAGTACTATGTAGAAAAAGCATAGAGGAGGGTAGAGGAGGTAAAATGAATGCATGGAAAGTGTGATTTACAAAGGCTGTCAGGGAGATAACTTCTTTGATAAGGTGACATTTAAACATAGACCTAAAGGAAGTGAGTTCTTATCATCAATAAAAGAGGAACATCTCCCTAGACCATTCCATCTGCATCTTTGTAAGTGCTATGATTTGGATGTGGTTTGTCCCCATCAAAACTCATATTGAAATTTTATTCCCAATATGGTAGTGTTCAGCAGTAGGGTCTAGTGAGAGGTGTTTGGGTTATGTGGTGGGCCCCTCATGAATAGATTAACGCACTCATTCAAGGGTAAGTGAGTTTAATGAGAACAAATTAGTTTCTGAGGAAACAGGTTGTTTAAAAGGGTCTGGCTCCTTGGTTTCTCTGCCATCCTTTCTCTCTCATAACATGATTCCTTTCTTATAACATCTATTGCTTTCTGCTTTCTGCCATAAGTTGAAGCAGCATAAGGCCTTCACCAGATGCAGCTGCCAATCTTGAACTTTCCAGCCACTAGAATCATGAGCCAAGTAAACCTCTTTTTATAGATGATCTAGCCTCAGGTATTCTGTTATAGCAACACTAAGCAGACTTAGACAGCAAGTAAGATGAATATTTCATGAATAAATGAAAGAGCAAATATTTCTATTTAGGCGTTCCCCAGACTTAGTTTCATATTACAAAATACTCACCAGTTTTCCTCTGAGAAATTTCCCATGGTTTCCCATAAAACATCATAACATCTTAATATCCCACTTCCATCTACCTTCAGGGTTCTTAGATTGTCATTTCTTTTGGGGAAAGGGCTAATGTGCCACAGCAACCAAATAGATGCATGTCTTCTCTTTCTGAAGGTCAACTCTGAACCCTGACCCAAGGATAGTTAGAAGGCCAACTTCTGAGTGGTCTTAAAAAGCCAGGCAATTCAACTAGAAAGATCTCAAATAGGGTAAGACTCCTCAAGTCCCAGATCATTTCCTTTTAAGGAGTCCAAAGGATTAGTTACTGACTGTGTGAGTGATGGATCAGTGGGAGAACCCTGGGAGGCCTGGCTGAGTCCCAAAGCAGATATGAATCCCTGCACCCCTAGAACCAACTTAACATCCCAGCAGCTCTCCAAATCAGAGCTATACTGACAGTTCCAGCACCATTCTGAAGAGTGAATAGTCCAAAGGTCAAACAGGTAACAACATGACTCTGGTCATCTGGAAAATTTTCCCAACCCAATAGACTGTCGCAGTGCTTTGAAAACTTTAACGTGCCTACAAAGCACACAGGGATCTCATTTAAGTGTTAAGTTTGATTCTGGATGGAGCCTGAGATTCTTCATTTTAAGATGGTCCAAGTGATGCCATTGCTACTGGTCTGGGGTCCGCCTTTTTATTCAGATGAGGTTCACTATGTTGCTCAAGCGGGAGTGCAGTATCTACTCACAGGCACAATCATAACACACTGCAGACTCAAACTCCTGGCCTCAAGCAGTCCTCTAGTTTCAGCCTCCCAAGTAGCTGGGCTGCTTTCAACCTTGGGTTCACATTTTAAGCATCAAGGTTCGAGCAGCCTTCAACTTGGCTGTATCTTAACAGCACTCAGAGAGTTTTTAAAAATTGCAGCATCTGGACATCAGCCTTTACCCAATGACCAATTAAACCAGCACCTGTGGGGATGAGACCCAGGAATCAGTATTTTTTTAAAACTCCTTATGTGGTGCTAATGGTGGCCAAAGTTGAGAACTACTACAATCAACTAAGAACACGTACAAAAGTTCAAGTGACTAGTGAAGGAAATTCACATTGATAAGCACCCACTATACTTCAAGCACTCAATTAGTCATTCTATTAATACATAGATGAATTTCTTCAGTAGTAACTGACATAACAAAAATAATAATACCTGACTCTTCACAGCTTCTTATAATTTATAAGAAATTCTTATTCACCTGTTTCCATTTAATTCTCCTAATTCATGGAGGTAGGAACTAATGGTTGATTTTATAGATGATTTTACATATAGATTTCACAGATCAGTGTAATGAAGTTAATCTGTGTGACTTACTCAGTATAGTGAGTAAATGGAAGAGAAGTTCAGGTGTTCTGCTTTCAGTTTTCCCAAGCATTGATACTTCATCTGAGATTGGATATAGAGAAATGGTGGTATACCAGCCTGGCCAACATGGTGAAACCCTGTCACTACTAAAAATATGAAAATTAGCTGGGTGTGGTGGTGGGCACCCGTAATCCCAACAACTTAGAAGGCTGAGGCAGAATAATCGCTTGAACCCAGAAGGTGGAGGTTGCAGTGAGCTCAGATCATAGCACTGCACTCCAGCTTGCGGGGGGTGAAGGGGAGGAAGAAGAAGAAGAAGAAGCAGAAGCGGAAGCGGAAGCGGAAGAGGAAGCGGAAGAGGAAGAGGAAGAAGGAGGAGGAGGAGAAGGAGAAGGGGAGGAGGAAGAGGAAGAAGAGGAGGAGGAGGGAGGGGAGGTGTTTAAAAAGTGCACATGAGTCTTGTCAATGATGATGCTGGGCACATTGCAAAGCCTGAAGAGGCTGCAGTCACTCTCAGCTAAAGTTTACTTTTTATTGATATACAGATAGTTTAGGAGACTGAGGCTTGAAGGAAGAAGGAAGCTCAGTCTGGTAGGGGCTCTGGCAGACTGATAGCAGCAGCATCAAGAGATCCGCTAAACAGCTGCAAAACTCAGAGGCCTACATCACACAGGATTATGATTCTTGATCCTGTCATAGACAATGAAACCAGCATCCCTCTCCCCTACAGGGCCTAATAGATAATTTGTGTGAGTCATCATCTAAAAATTATTGGAAAGTAACCTATGTTTCAGCATGGGAAATTGGTTTGCATTTTTAGGTAGTGGTCCTGCCATTTAATACCCAAGATAGCTTAGGAGAGATCCCCTGGACAGGCACTGTGTGGATGGCAGCAGAGCATCCCAACAGACTCTATTGGTGAGCTACAGTGAGACCTTCTTAAGCAGGAAAAGCAGAAGAACCCCACCAAGGGTACACAGGGGAGCAGCCTTAGACCTTGAACTCTAGTTGCAGCCTGTTGAAAAACTATAAGACCAGCAGGTCGACCTGGTTCAACTTCCAAGAAAATGTGGCCATTTTTGTGCCAAGACTCCAGGTTTTCTGCCTGCTCAAGGGACCTATTTCACCCTAAAGAATGAACCAAGCTTTACTGTTCACAATCCAGAAAGTGTTACTTGTTCTTTATCCATACATTCACTGATACATTCATTTACTCATGCAAAGATTATTGAGTGTCTGTTAATAGCAATGAAAATTTGATAAATGAATGAATTATTTCTATTCAGGGATTTACAATGCTGGTTTTCATGTTCTGAAACACTCTCTAGCTGCCTGAAAAAAATCCCCCATAGCTTTCCTTAATCCAGTAAATGCATATTGGCTACAGGTTAGTCTACTTAGTTGCTATTCCCCCCTCTCCACCCTGCCACCCAAAACACAGATACATGGCTAACAGCATCAATTTTAACTATGAAACATGTGAATACAAAATGAAAAGTGCCCAGAGGTCCTAGAAC